GGAGCAGCCTACAATTTTTGCCAGGGCCGCCGACTTGCTTGGGTCACTCAGCCTCATCTTTGAACCAACCTCTTACTGTTTGGACGACAAGCCCCCGTAGGTCTGGAGTGGGGTCTCTCTTGCTCATCACTGCGCCCTTAGCGTGCACTGCAGGGTCTGGCGCATGGGGGCCCTAGTGTTGGCTGACTGCGGGTGATGAATGGACAGCATTCGGGCTTTCATAGGCGGGAGTAGCATTCTTCCTCATTCATGGGTTTAAATTTTTTCCCTTTCCACGACTTCTGGCTCCACTCTCTACCCCCATCATCTCAGTGTGCCACGCCTTTCTGAGTCTATGAAGTAAAATTGTGCTCTGAGCCGGAATCCAGAGTATGATTAAAAATAAATGAAAGTTGCATCAAAACAAGTTAACCACAAGAAATGGCCTTTCTGGGGTAATTAGCGTTAGCCCTGGAGGCCAAGCACAGAGGGCCAGACTCTAATTACCAAGGGCTGTTATCAACGCCTCTACTGTGTAGGGCAGAGAACAGGAGAGCCTGGTCTGCACCCCTCCATCACTGGCCCCCCACCACTGTAGAGCAATAGGCAGGACCCTCCCCACAGTGGGAGGGAGAACGAGTTCTAATTCCATCTTTGTCTCTACCTGTTGGAATGACGTTATGAAAATCCATACCTCCTGGGGCCAAGCATGGTGGCGCACACCTGTAATCCCAGAGTTTGGGACACCTGTAATCCCAGAGCTTGGGAGGCTGAGGCAGGAGGATCACAAGTTCAAAGCCAGCCTCAGCAACTAAGCAAGGCTCTAAGCAACTCAGCAAGACCCTTCTCTAAATAAAATATTTTAAAAGGGCTGGGGATGTGGCTCATTGGTTAAGTGCCCCTGGATTCAATCCCTGGTACCAAAAGAAAAAAAAAATATGGACCTTTTGAAGCCTCGGTTTCCTCATCTGTTAAATGGCAGGATCTGTAATCATTAATGATATTCAGATAATGATGGCGCCTAACTCAGAGACAGAGGATCCTAAACGTTGTCAGTTCACCTCATCTCACATTTTCACATTTTCCATTGTGCCAGGCCCCAAGAAATACCTGACACATATAAAAAGTGGTTAGGTTGAAACAACTTAGTAATATTTGCTTGCACAGCATCTGACAGATTGTCCTTTTGTTTCCCTCAGAAATGTAACTGTTTTTTTCTGCCTCTGTGAGTTTTCTGCAGTACCTGGGGGTGCCTTGGAACACAGTTTGGGAACTGCAGTCATAAAAAGGTTCTGGAGATGCTCTGAGGTTATGATGCCCAGCCAGATGCCTGGTGCAGAGTAAGCCACCCAGAAATGTGGGTTGTCCTCAATTATCCTTCAAGCCCCGTGCTCAGATCATCCTCTCTCGTCCTTCCTGGGTCTCCCACCACCGCCAGGCGGCACTACCTCCTGCCTCTAGCTCCTGCCCTGGGGTCCTGTCGGCCAGCCTCCCTCCCTCGGGCCCCTCCAGGCCTGCAGCCCCCGTCTGCGCTGACTTCCCTCCCAGTGTGAAACGGGTGGCCCCTCTCCTCCGCCTCTCCCTCACTGCTCTCTTGGCATGACCTCTTTGTAGATGGCCCACGTCCTGGCCCCTCAGGTTGGGGCTTGGTCATGTGACTCGCTTTGTCTTCAGGCAGGTGATTCTGAGCTTAGGCCCTAAGTGACCTCATGCTGTTCCACTTGTTCCTTTCTTCTCTGTCCCTGTCAGGAGGGGAACATGTCCCAGGCACCCAGTGATTCCAGGAGGATGACAAGAGACGCATGGGGCAGCCTCAGACCTGCTGATGGGCAGCCTGAAGAAAGCCATGCCAGGCAGCCCACACACTCACGAGCAAAAGTAAACCATGGCTGTGGCCGGACAAACACCCCCGACGGCCACGTGTTCAAGACTTGACCCCCACCTGTGGCACTGCTGGGTCACACAGCCTCGTATTTGAACCAGCTGATGGAGCCTCTTATAGTCTGGAGGTTATCTAAGGGTTCCAAGAGGTGGGGCCTGGTGGACCTTATAGTCATATGAAGGGGGTAGTGAGACCCTGGCCCCTCCTCCCTCTCCCTCCACGCCCCCCCCCCTCTTCCTTTTCAGGAACCATGAGGTAAGCAGCGTATTCCAGCACACATTATGCTGCTTTGTCATAGTCCCAGGCAACAGGGTCAACTATGGGTTGAAATCTCCCAAACTGTGGGCCAAAATAAACCTTTCCTCTTTTTAAGTGGATTATCTCAGGTATTTTGGTATAGTAATAGAAAGCTAACTCAGTTGGAAAATGTGGAATTTTGGAGAAGTTTGTTATACAGTGTTCTTATTTTGTTTTGTTTTTATGGGGGGTAGGTGGGTACCAGGGATTGAACTCAGGGGCACTCCACCACTGAGCCACATCCCCAGCCCTATTTTGTATTTTATTTAGAGACAGGGTCTCACCGAGTTGCTTAGCACCTCATTTTTGCTGAGGCTGGCTTTGAACTCTTGATCCTCCTGTCTCAGCCTCCCAAGCCACTGGGATTACCCGTATGTGTCATTGCACCGACATACAGTGTTCTTGTAACAATCCAGTTTCCCTATCTGCGGCAAACTCACAGTGCTGATTGGATCGTTAGGTTACCAACTCAGACACAGCTCTTCAAATACAAGCCACCCCAGAGCCCAGGGTCTGCCTCCTGACCAATCCGTGGGGGCCACCGGTGTGCAGCACCCATCTCTGCTCCAGGCAATTGTCCCATGACTACAGGGCCACATGAAACAAAGCCTGGAGACCTACCTGGAGGGGCTCATGTCTAGTCCCTGTGTTCAGAAGGGGTGTGAACAGGCCGGGAGAGTGTCTCAGATCTTCAATTCTGAAAAGTGACAGCTGAACCAGAATAGAATTGGCACATAGCATCTTGTCTGCACGTGGCAATGAGATGCACTCAGGCTGTAAATCCTAGAGTACAAGGAACCTGAGGCTCCTTACAACTCAGGTTAGTAGTTATTTAGAGACGTTTTGCCTGAAGAGGGAAAGAATAAAGCCCGGCTGTGAACAGTGTGGGGGGCCAACCTTACGGGTGACTGAGTTACATTCCCCAGCTGGGTGCTGAGGTGCTCAGTCACAGAAATGGGTGTGTCTTGCTACAGCCCCATGGGTGAAGCTATGCTCACTTGTTCCTTTGTAATATAACCCCTTGCCCTGTTTAGGATAGAATCTTCCATGGAAGTGCCTTGTGTGTGTCCCCTCCTTTTACTGTGCCCTTGGGTGTGGCCTACCCAGGTGTCAATCAACCTGCTGACAGTGGACATCATGAAGACAGACTCAGCCCCCTGAAACCTGACCCCTTGCCTCATTTGAGTAGCTTCTCCTCAATAAAAGGGGTCAACGTGTGCTCTCGCTCTCTCTCTTCTGCGGACCCTTAAGGTCAGAGGAGCCGTCACAGCAACCCCAAAGAAAAAGGTATTTGTGTCTCTTGTGTGGTTATTTCGTGCAGCCCAGTTAGCCCAGTTTAACTGGAGTGACCCCTGAGCCTTTTAGTCGCGAGAACAGAAACCCGGCAGAACAGAAAGTCTGATGGAGCCCGGGTTGGATCCCAGGCACCAGGGCCCCCAGAACAGCACCCATGTTTCTGCCCGGTAGTTCTGATGCTTGGAAGGAGCCAGGTGCACCTCTGACCCACAGAGGCCCTTCTCAAGTCTCCCTGGTCTCCTGGTTCAGGCTGCTGCTTGCTGATTGCGTCCTTGAAAGAACTCTCAGCCTCCTCCTGCTGGGTCCCAGCCTGTGCCCCGTGTCCCTTACCCTCTGTTAGCTTTGTCTTCTGGGGCCACAGTAAGTTCATTTATAAACACTTCCTATAATTTTTACTTGTATGAATTCAATTGAGTTCTATTTCAAAAGAGTTTTAATAGCATCTTTTTCTGTGTTTTTGATTCTTTCTTGTTTGCCTTTCATTCTTCTCAGAATATGTTTTTGATCTCCTTCATCTCAGGGGGGAGAGGAGCCGGATCTGGCGGTAGATGGGGTCCGCTGACTCTGGTCCACTGTGTGTTCTGTCATCCGAAGGCAGCTTGTGTCACCGGGGTTGAGGGAAAGTCCTTCCAACGTGTATCGTATTTGTTTTGTCCCTCACCTCAGGGGATCTGGGTGACAGACAGAACCCAGCTATCTGGGATGACTGTGTCCATCCTCAGGGTTCCTGGCTCACATGGATAGAATGAATTTTTTAAGACCCTCCATCAAAGTAGGTCTGATTCCTTTCCATGATAACATCAGCTTGATTATTGTTTGTTTCAATCTGCTAGAATATCAACTCCAGGAAAGCAGAGACTTTGTCCCTCTGGTGTTGGGCCAGTGCCTAGAGCAGAACTTGGCACACAGTGGATACTCAGTAAGTATTTATTGGAAGGGACAATTAAAGAATAGCCACTTCATATTATCCTGTGAGAAAATCTGGGAAGTCAGTTAGGACAGTTTGTCTCCCAAGAGGTAGACTGTCCAGTTACACATGGGGTCTGTTCTTTCACCTAACAAATACATGTTGCTGCTGATTCCATGACTCGATGACTTCCAACCCCTTTAATTCTCTTGGCCTTTGTCTTATAGTTGCAAGATGATTGCTGTAGCACCAGACATCAGGTCTACACTTAAGGTAAAAGGAAGGGGGGGTGGGAAAGTAAATGCGAAGGGGAAAACGTCAGAAACACTTTCCCTTTCGTTAGAAAGGTAAAAGATTTTTCCTAAGGTCTAATGACAAATTTCTGCTTTGGTCTCATTTGTTAGGAATGGGTTTTGCAGGCATCTTAGAGGTAAGGGAATTTGGGACGTGAACATCTTCCTTTATCTAGACTCAATGGATAAGTGAGAAAGGGAGGGAGGGACTGGACCACAGGTGGGATATCTACCCTCCCCCTCCCCAGAGGCATATACTCCACATATAAAGCACCAAACAAGCCCTGGGCAAGAGCACTGTTCACCTATTTCAAAAGAACTATTATTGTTATGCTTTAAAGCTTCACGGTCCCTGTCATCCCGCTGGCTTCTGGAACCAGCAGGCACGGAGGCTCCCATGCCCCAGTGGTCCCCTCCCTTCATATTCGGTTTGTGCAGGGCACTCAAGCCCTTTAAAAAAAAAACACTGCACTTTCCCATGTGAACTGCTTCCTGCTCCCGTTTACTCCATCTTGAGTGACTTGGCCACCCTGCTGCCAGCTGAAGGAGGTTGGGGACTCTATGAGTCACAAGTCCCTCAGGCCCACAGCCGGGACATCATCAAGTCTTCTCAGGGAGATGAAGGCAGCTGGAGAGCCACCCCCGGACCTCGGGCAGACCCTGGAATGGCTGAGACGGGAGCTGGTGAGGCTTTGCCCACTTTCCCTCCCACACCCGCCCCCCACGTTTCCAAGGTTTCCCGTCCCTCCTCTCAGGTGCCCCATTGGACAGGGCAGGGGCTGCAGGCATCCCTCTGGGGACCAGCCACCCGGTGCGTGATCGCAGTTTCAGGCCGGAGTAAGTGGGTCGTGGCCTACATAGGAGGCGCGTGCCTGGTGTGTCCCTGGCACATCCATGTGGGCTGCTGACCCTGACCGCGGTGGACATGGAGCACGCCACTGTCTCAGCCCAGATCCTCTAGAGAGCAGAGGCTGGGAGTTGAGGACCTAGCAAGGTGTTTGGAGGTAGGAGCCCAGAGGGACTGGGATGGCAGTGGGAATGCAGGCCAGAGCCGTGCTCCTGCGGGGGCAGGGTGTTACGGAGCTGGCTCCCAGTTCAGAAGTGGCCAAGGAGGCCCAGGGTCTCTCAGCAGGTGGCCTACCAGCTCAGGACTTCTCTGCAGGGCCGACTCAGAGAAACTGAACCTTGGAAGAGAGAGAAAGGGGAGGAAGTCTCTCTCTCCAGGAAACATCTCCTGTGTCTCCTTTCCAGTAAAGATCCACCCCACGGC